AAGCCTGTTGGGGCAAAGGACTCTGATGGAGTCTCCTTTTCGGAAGAGCCAAAAAGAGAGCTGAACAATAGCTAACCTAACAAATACACTTCCCAGAGTGACATATGTCCTCAAAATGGATGAAGAAATAAATGGGAGCTCTGTCAACAATGCAAATGTTTTTAGATTCTCATTTCACAGGATGCATCTATTATAGAAGAGCTGTGCTAGGAAGCAACCTGTGGAAAATGTTTAGCGGGCTGAATCTGAAAAACACTGACTAATAATCTCAAAGAACATCATGTGCCATTAATCATGATGATGGCTTTAAAAAGGTACCAGAGGGGTGCCTGGGCAGCTCAGTTGGTTATGCCTCTGCCTTTGGCTCAGGTCATGATCTTAGGGTCCTGAGATCGAGCCCCGAGTGGAGCTTCTTACTCAGCCGGGAGTCTGCTTCTCCCTCTCCCACACCCCCACCCCCGTCCCGCCCATGCTCTCTCTAATAAATAAATAAAATATTTTAAAAAAAAAACAAATTTTATTTATTTATTTGACAGAGAGAGAGACAGTGAGAGCAGGAACACAAGCAGGGGGAGTGGGAGAGGGAGAAGCAGGCTTCCCACCGAGCAGGGAGCCCGATGCGGGGCTGATCCCAGGACCCTGGGATCATGACTTGAGCCAAAGGCAGACGCTTAACGACTGAGCCACCCAGGCGCCCTAAATAAATAAAATCTTAAAATAAAAACGTACCAGAATATGGTGGTAGAATGTTATCTACTGCATATCCCTTTTCTCAAAATAATATTATGTGTAAAAATAGCTATTTGCCCTGTTATTGTGAGTAAATAGGCACAAGAAGGAGGAACAATTGGGACACCTGGATCACTGATAAGGGACAAGCACTAGGTATAACTTGGTGGGCCCACATTCCTAAGAATTCTGCAATGTGTTTGGTTATGGGAAGTACTACGAAACACTCAAACCAGTCTATTAGGAGTGACTACTACTCATGTGATCTGAGCCTGGGGGAATTAACATTTTTGAAGTACCAAATGTATTTCCTAATTGTACAAAGCCAGTTAGTACTCAATGACAACATGTCTGCTGTTGGCCCACTTGAAATAAAGAGAGCTTTAGTGGAATTAGGAGCTGCTTAGGAGTATTTGGTCAGGCAAATTTGTTGTTTTTTTTTAAAGATTTATTTATTTTGAGAGAGAGAGCACAGGAGTGCACAGGGTGGGGGGGAGGGGCAGCAGAAGGAGAGACTCCCTCAAGCAGACTCCCCATGGAGCAGAGAGCTTGATCCAACGACCCATGAGATCAGGACCCTAGCTGAAACCAAGAGTCAGATGCTCAAAGGACTGTGCCACCCAGGCACCCAGGAATATTTGTTTTTGTTTTTTTTAAAGATTTTGTTTATTTATTTGAGAGAGTGAGCATGACTGGGGAGAGGGGCAGACAGAGAGGGAGAAGCAGGCTCTCTACTGAGCAGGGAGCCCGATGCCGCGCTGGATCCCAGGACCCCGGGATCATGACCTGAGCTGGAGGCAGAGGCTTAACCAACTGAGCCACCCAGGTGCCCTGGCATATTTGTTTTTAATGAGGAAATACATACTGCTGGAAAAGACCTACTAAGGGGCGCTGGGGTGGCTCAGTTGGTTAAGCATCCAAGTCTTGATTTCAGCTCAGCTCATGTTATCAGGGTTGTGAGATCACGCCCCAGTACTGGACAGATAATACTGATATTAATGATCAAATATAGAGTGCTTCCTGTAGTGGATTAATGGGTTCTGCTGCAGGTTTCTTCTACTGGAAACCAGTATCTGTCAAACTATGTAACTGGTTATGTTCTCAAGATGTTTGAATCCTAAAAAAACAGAGATATGGCCTCTGATCTATATTCATATGACAAATAATATATTGTACATAAGAAAAGATAGATTGTAGGGGCATCTGGCTGGCTTACTCAGTGGAGCCTGCGGCTGTTGGTCTCACGGTTTTGAGCTCGAGTCCCATATTGGGTGTAGATATTACTTAAAAAAAAGAAAAGAAAAGAAAAGGTAGATTGTGTTGGAGAGGACAAAATAATTACACCATGATGGGGCATGGTAAGCTGATGGTGGCTCAGTAACCTGAGCATTTGACTTCGGATCAGGTCTTGATCTTGGGGTTCTGGGATTGAGCCCAGCATTTGGCTCTGTTCAGCGGGGATCTGCTTCTCCCTCTCTCTCTCTGTTTCCCCCTCCAGCTCATGCTCTTTCTCTCAAATAAATAAAATCTTAAGGGGCGCCTGGGTGGCTCAGATGGTTAAGTGTCTGCCTTCGGCTCAGGTCATGATCCCAGGGTCCTGGGATCGAGCCCCACATTGGGCTCCTGGCTCAGCAGGGAGCCTACTTCTCCTTCTCCCTCTGTCTCTCCCCCTGCTCCTGCTCTCTCTCTCTCTCTGTATCTCTGTGTCTCAAATGAATAAATAAAATCTTAAAAATAAATAAATAAATAAATAAATAAAATCTTAAAAAAAAATTACATGAAGATTTTTTTTTGAAAGAGAGCGTGTGCGCATGCACACAAGAGGGGGAGAGAAAGGGCAGAGGAGAGAGAGAAAACCTTAAGCACACCTCAATCTTACGACCCTAAGATCATGACCTGAGCTGAAACCAAGAGTCAGATGCTTAACCAACTAAGCCACCCAGGTGCCCCTATAACAAAATTTTCTGATTTATACTGTAACTACAATGGTATTGCTATATAGGGTATAACATAGGAGGCATAAAGAAATTAATATTGTAGATACTAATAAACTTAGATAATACTGAAATTAATGATCAAATATAGTGGGAAACTGAATTAAAGCTATCTCAGGACATTATCCCTGTGGAGGAGAACTGGTCTGAGAAATATTTAGAGTTGATTAATGACAGATTAATAATTCAGCAGATGTATACCATAAGGAGCAGACACTTACAGATCCAAGAAGCAGAAGAACTGTATAGTTACAAAAACATGGGAAAGTATAAATGGATGTTTAGCTATCTGTTTAAATTCCTACCAACCCCACATTGGATACTGTAAATGTTTGGATTCTGCATGTACATTTTTATTATCTTATATGATTATGAGATATTGCAAGGCAAGTAAATGATATCACACTAAGGATTACTGTTTTATTAGAAATAAGACTTGACAATGGATTAATGGGGGTGGACTGCTCTGTGTGGGTTAATTCCTGAAATTAGCTTGAGCTGTTTTGCTAAATTCCTGTATGGCACTGACTTTGGTAAAGGCATAGCATGAAACATACTCATTAAAAGTGTTGTGAGGGCAATAAACACATGAAAAGATGCTCAACATCACTAACCATTAGGAAAATGCAAATTAAAACCATAGTCAGATACTCTTTCACACACTAGAATGGCTATTATCAAAAAACAGAAAACAAGTTGGCATGGATATGGAAAAATTGGAACCCTTGTCCATTGCCAGTGGGAATATAAAATGGTACAGGTCCTATGAAAAACAGTATGGTGGTTCCTCACAATATTGAACACAGAATTACCATTTGATCTACGTTCTACTTCTGGGTATATATCCAAAAGAAATGAAAGTAGGGGTTTGAAGAGCAGAATGTGCATAGCAGAATTATTCACAATACCTAAAGACAGAAACAACCCAAATGTCCATCAACACAAGAACAGATAAATAAAATGTAGCATATACATACAAAATGGCATATTATTCAGCCTTAAAAAGAAGGGAAATTCTGATATATACCACAGCATGGATAAATACTGGAGACATTTTGCTTGATGAAATAAGTCAGAAATAGGGGCGCCTGGGTGGCTCAGTCGTTAAGCATCTGCCTTAGACTCAGGTCATGATCCCAGGGTCCTGGAATCGAGCCCCACATCAGGCTCCCTGCTCAGTGGGAAGCCTGCTTCTCCCTCTCCCTCTCCCCCACTTGTGTTCCCTCTCTCTCTGTCCAAAAAAAAAAAAAAAAAGTCAGAAATAAAGTAAATATTGTATGACTCCACTTATATGAGGTGCCTAAAAAGTAGTCAAATTATAGACTCAGAAAATAAAATGGTGGTCAGCAGAGGCTAGAGGGAAGGAGAAATGGGAAGTTATTGTCTAACGGGTATAGAGTTTCAACATGGGATCATAAAGAAGCTCTGGAGATATGTAGTAGGGGTGGTTGCACAACAATGGGAATGTATTTAATGCCACTGAACTGTACACTTAAAAATGGCTAAAGTTTAAATTTTATGTTATATATATTTCACCACAATTAATGAAAAGTGTTACAAGGAATTTTGGGGCAGTGTACCAGGTTCTGAATACTGATAGCAGTGAGATTAATGGTTTATATTTGGTCCCTCTGTGAGCTCTCTGAAGGGCTTTGCTGTCGTACAGCAGGAATAAGCCAATATGACCAAAACCGCAAAAATCTCTAGCTGAGATTCCATTTTGGGTCCCGTTTCCAAGGTGTTCTGTGTGTCCATCTGTGGTTCCTTATCCACGAGAGGAAAATGCATCCTGCCCGGCCCTTACTGAGGGAGGACAATGAGAGCCTGCACCTGGCTTCTCTGGACCCTTCTGTGAGACAGCCATGGACTGTGACAGGAGTTCTTACTTTAATGCTGTTGCTGTACTATACCCCTTTCCTATAATAAATTACAGCTTTGTAAGCATTATCATTTTGGGTCCCGAGTCTTCTTTAGCAATCAAACTGTGTTTAACTGCCACTATTATTGTGGTTATTATTAGGAAAGGAAATACAATGAATTAATTTATGTTGCTCCAAGGAGAAACAACTAAGATCATGGGTGAAAGATACAAGAAGGCAGATTTATCTTGCCTTGTGAGGTATTGAGCAAGTCTCTAGACATGTTCACTAAACATTAAAGTAGAAGGTAGATGCTCATCTTCTTTAAGATCACTGCATTGGGTACCTCAAGCTACCCATCGAACCCTAAGAACTTAGATTTTTTAATATGGAAAAACTTTTTCAATAGAAACCATACCTGTGATGTTAGCTTCCCAGCAATCTGCATTCGCTCAATTTCTGCAGGAGATTTGATCAGCCGGAGGCGCTGTACCAGCTGCTGGACAGCCCGAACTTTATTCTTGCTCCTGGCTTTGACCTCAGTCAGATGCTGCATGTAGTCAGAGTGAAGCTGTGCGTGAGAGGGCCTCATCCAGTCATACCAGACCATATTTGTCTCATCTTAAAATGAGCAGCAAAAAATAAATAAATAAATAAAAATTAACAAGAAATACCAACCGTTATAATGACTTGAACAAGAGTAAAAACTATAAAACCCGTGACATATAACTCTCTCAGGACTGAAGCAACTGAAAGGTTGATTATGTATCACTGGAAAGGCTATTCCCTGCAAATGGCAAGATATTCTGACACCAAATATACAGCTTTTCTGCCCCCAAACTTCAGGGTTCCCTATAAAGATGGTAGATGGGACTAAAGCTTTTTCTCCAGCTTTGATTTCATTCATTATTTATTAAACATTAAAGAACTCCACACCACACCAACCGAGCTAGAGGCACTGTTGAATAACTGAACATAAGAGGAGTGAAAAAAATACTCACATCTTGACCTCCTGGTTAAAAGTATTCTCTTCCTTTCCAATCTCAGTGTTAGTGAAAGGAGGTTCTTATCTCATTTGGGAGCAATTCTTCATGGCTATGGAAACACTCTAGTGGATAATGTGTGCTAACCCAACTGCCATATATTCTCATTAGACAACCACGTTCTCCTTTGAACTCTAGAGACCCAAGGAACTATATGTGCCTGAGATGTAAGATGTGAAGGCCCATGATGAAAATGTTCCCACTTACACCACGTCTCCATTCGTCCCTTTCTTTTTTCCTGACGTGGCCTAAGAGCAGCATTCCCAACAACTGAAGTCTGAAGGTTGTATGTTTTATACAAAGTATTTGGGACAGAAGAGGGGAAAAATCTTACAAATTTTGATTGGTTATATATCAGTGATACAATCTCCTAAATATTTTCATTTTAAAATAAAAATGGTTTTAAGTGTATATTACATGTCAAACGCTAATCTTATTTTTAATAGAAATTTAACTACTTTTAAAACAGTAAAACCACTTCTACTACCTGTTCTTAGTGTATGAAATCATAGCCCAACTTTTTTTGGTTTTTAAACTTTTAAATAAATATGATTTCACAAATCTTTTCCTTTGCCTACTGCTTTTATCTAGTAAACTACTAACATTAAGAATGGTGAATGAGAAGTACTTTTGAGAAATACATTTGGTGTAAGGCTTTATTTAACAATACTAGGTTGATGAAATTTACACTGTTGAATAGGACAGCTAGCGACTAATTAAAAAAATAAAAAAGCTAAAAAAAAATGATTGACTTCGTGAAGATATAAAAAAGTTCCACTAATTTAGCTGAGTAATTACCTCTGTAAAATAGAGAAAACTTGCATAAAGCAATGAAAACAATTCAAACATATTAGAACTTGCATATTCAAATGAGTATTTTCTTTCAGAGGAGTCTTTGCAGGAAACAAGTCCAATAAATTCCATGATCACTGGAAACAATTTTGGAATTTTCTTTTAGAAACTGACTTCAGAAATGATTTATAAACCATACAAGAAAATCAGACTATAATTTTACAACCATACATATTTTGTCTAAAATTAGTACTTTCCAACTTGATCAGCTATCTTATTTACCGAATTTGGCGACTAAGCGACTTTTGGACACTTCAAAAAATAAAATGCTTCCCAGAGCTGTAGATTTACAAGAATCACTAAAGATAGTTTATAATGTAGTGTAGGTTCTGAAAAGTTCCAGAAAAAGAATCCTAAAACATTATGAGTGATTATAATTTTACCAGAATAAATGTAGAGAAAAACGACCTTTTTGAGGGGAATGGACTCAACTGTGTACTATATGAATCACCTGAGAATCCTTTTTAAAGTCAGATTCTGATCTAGTAGGTATGGAGTGGGGGCCTAAGATTTTACATTTTCAATTACCTATTATGTATTTGTAATCCTAATATGTGTCACCAGGTTATTCTGATGCTGGTGATGCACTATCATTCTTTGAGAATACTGCTTCTTTCTGAAGAGTTGGCAGAAGTAATAAGCAGTGATCAGAGGTCAATAGACTGGTCAGTGATCTTGAAGAATGACCTATGCTCATTCTGTACTTTAAGTCTTGTGGAAAAGATTTATGATCCTTTCATGGTCTCAAGGAAATGCCGCTACGATAATCATTTTAGAAAATTAAGAACTTTGTCTAAATAGGCAAGGAAAGTCTTAATCCAAAATCTGGCCTGTGATTTGATTTGACTTCTGCTCCCATTTGTTACCTTTCAATTTTGGTACTAGATGTTGAAATTCTTCCAGTGTATAGGCTTCGTCCACTCCCGTTAAAGCTATTGCTCCATCAGTGCCAGATCGTGGGCCATCCCAAAGTTCTCGACTAGGGTCTCTCCGAGGCACAAAAAGCATGGCCTTATGTGCTGGTAACTGCTTGCCAGGGAGGCTTTGAAGGACCAGAATGCTATCGGGCTCTTGGAATCCACACAGGTACAGGAAATTGTTGTCTTGGTGGAAAGTATAGGGGATATCGTTGCTCATGTAGTATGTAGGGTTGGACAGCAGAACCACTGTCTGGTCTGTCCCACTCTGCCCTTCTGTTTCCTTGTGGATCAGAGACATTAGTTTGTGCCTGCGAAGTGCATATTCCACTTGAGATAGTCCTGGCGTCACCTCTCCTAGAAATGACAAATAACAGTGATGCTTTGCATTTACATAGTGCCAAACTACTTTTAAGGTAGCTTAATATTAGATGAAGACACCCAAGTTCATTTCTTCAATTTATGCCAAATCTCCTCATAGCACATGGGGAATTAAGGAGATGACCCAGGTTTCAAATTTTCTATTCCACTGCAAAAAGGTTGGAAGAAATGATAGTTAAATGTGTTCCTGCCGGAAAACTGGAATCATGACCCCATAAGAACTCTTTCATTCTTTTACTCATTCAATCAAATCTTTATTGAACATTATTATGTGAAAGGCATTGTTAGGCATATAATTAAGGTTGACCCTTTAGTGTCAATATAAAAGGTGAGAAGGATGACATTATCCGTGTATGACTTTCCTGAAAGAATGTAAGCTCCATGAGGACATAGATTTTTGTCTGTTTAATGTTATATTCCCAGAGCCTAGAATAACAACTGGAATGTAGTGGGCATTTGATAAATATTTGTAAAATGATGTATAGTTTTTAACATAATAGAGTTTAGGGCCAAAGAACGTCCCCCAATTTCAAGAGCTAAAATAAATTTCTCCTTCTGAATTTCCAGTGCATAATAATACCTTTCTAATAGGACTTTTCACTCTCTACTTTGTATTAACAGTAGAGCTGGGTACATATAACCTCCTTGAGGGTTCCCTCCCTGAGGGAAAATCTTTGTATTTTCCAAAAACTCTAATAATATTATCTACCTCTTGGAGCTGTCGTGAGAAGCAACCTTGATAAAGCATGTGGTTCTTAAGGAATGAAGACTCCCCAAAGAATCTTTAGAAGCTATGGATTCAGGGGCACCTGGGTGGCTCAGTCGGTTAAGCTTCTGACTCTTGATTTTGGCTCAGGACATGATCTTAGGGTCGTGAGATGGAGCCCTAAGTGGGGTTCCATGCTCAGCAGGTAGTCTGCTTCTCTCCCTCTCCCTCTGCCCCTCCCCTTGCTTGGGCACGTGCACTCTCTCTCAAATAAATAAATCTTAAAAAAAAAATAAAATAAAAGCTATAGATTCATTGTTTACTGAACTGCACGTAGGCACACAAACTTCTGACATATATTTCAAGAGCTGTCTGATTCACTTAAGCCCACTCACAAAACTCTTATTAGGAACCTGTGTTATGAAGTGTTACATATTAGTTCTTAGTATTAGTACCCAGCATACTGCCTGGTTCCTTGCCCAGTGGTGACTGGGTGAGTGTTTCCCTTCTGTATTGGAAAGTAGGTGTGCTTTCACTTTAGGTTGCAAAATAAAAGAACTACTAAAACAATCACTCATGAAAGCTGTATCCTTCAGCCTACACAGAGGAATAATAATAGTAAAACACCACCTAATGCTTACTGAATGCTTCTTATGTGTCTCGTACTATTCTAATTATTTATAGATATCAGCTCATTTAATCTTTACATTGACTTTGTGATGTGGATTACTATTATTTCCTGTAGTAGGCAGTCTCCACATCCAAGTATGGAAAGATAGCCATGAAATACTGCTGTATGAAAAAGTTACAGTACAAGATGGGTGATATGATCCCAATTATTAAAACAAAACAAAACACAAAAACAAAGAGCGAAAAAATAATTAGGAAAAAAAAAAACAATTTCTGGGGCACCTGTGTGGCTCAGTTGGTTAACTGTCTGCCTTTGGCTCAGGTCATGATCCTGGGGTCCTGGGATCGAGCCCTGCATCGGGTTCCTTGCTCAGTGAGGAGTCTGCTTCTCCCTCTCCCTTTGCCCCTCCCCCTGCTCGTGTGTCCACATTCTCTCTCTCTCAAATAAATAAAATCTTTTTTAAAAATGGAAAGAATCCCAAATTTTATAGTGGTAATCTATGGGGATTGAGTTAAGACTGAGATTTTCTTTTTAACATGCTTTATTTATTTAGAGAGAACATGTGCCAGTGGGAGGCAGAGGGCAAAGGGAGAGGGAGACAGAGAATCTTAAGCGGGCTCCATGCCCAGTGCAGAGCCCAACATGGAGCTCGATTTCACAACCCTGAGATCATGACCTGAGCTGAAATCAAGAGTTGGTCACTTAACTGACTGAGCCACCCAGGTGTCCCTTTCTAACATCTTTTTAATATTACTTGAATTTTGTTTCAATGAGTATATACTCTCAAAATTAAAATCCCAAATAAAGAGAGACATCATGGGCAGTCCATGTCATACTCATAACCTACAATGGTTCTTTGTTGTCCATTAGATCAAATTCAAACTCTTAAGTAGATTTTAATGCTCTCTACCAGGTGATTCCAATTTATCTGGTCAACTTTTAAAGAACAGCTTGAGGTATTATCTACAAGGCATACAATCCACTCACTTAAAGGTACAACTTAATGGTTTTTGGTACAGTCACAGAATTGTACAAACATTACAAAAACCAACTTTAGAGTATTTCATCACTCCCAAAATAAACCCCTGCTCATTTCCTTCCAATCTGCCCAAGCCCGTGGCAACCACTAATCCATTTCCTGTGTCTATGGATTTGTCTATTGTAGAGATTTCACATAATGAAATCACATAATATATGGTCTTCAGTGATCTGGCCAACTTTTTTTTTTTATCATTTCTCCAAGTATTCTGAAATTAATTCCTTCTTATGTCTTACATAGGTCCAATCTGTTCTTTCCCTATTACCTTGCTTACAATGTGTCCCTTTTCCAAAATCTCTTCTCCCTCCACAGCAGTTCCATTCCCAAGATTTCAGGCTCAATGCATGTTTGTTTTTAGACTCCTCTTATTCAAAAGGCTTTCCTGATGGGCCCAGGTCATGTTGATTTGTCCCTCTTAATTATTTTTAAGTTAATGGTTTCATTTTCTTATATATACATCCTATAGTTGTGTATAAAGGTAATCACATCATACTGAACTCTTTCAATAAATATTTTCCCCCTTTTCCTTTGCTGTTTGATTCGTCACTTCCCTTCCCTCCTTCTACCCACATGAACACCTCACCCACACTGGTAATCTAGCATGTATCCTTTCCTATTTTTCTCAATACTCATATACTTGCATTTAGGGTTTTTTGGTTACAAAAAGTGTTTTACAAACATGGGATACTACACATTCTTCTGTATCTTGCTTTTCTATCACAGTGACACCTTATAGAAATCCCTCCCACCAAGTCATCTTGCATAGCTTCAATTCATTCCGCTTGATGTCTCCATATATTTCTTGGGGTGATGTATCATAACTTACTGGTCCATTTCTATACTGGTGGGCATGTATATTGTTTTCAGCTTTTTGCTGTAATAATAAACATCCTTGTACTTATCCTGGTACCTTTATGCCTTATGTACTGGTGCTTTCTATGGAATAGTCCCAGGACAGACATTGCTGGGTCAAAGACCTCTAAATTTTCTTAGTACTCATGTTCAGTACATGAAACTCAGTTGTTTATGATTGCCTTGGAAGAGTCTAGTTGTTTTACCTATGTATAGTTTATTTCTCCAGCAAACTCTATAGTTTGCATTTCATTAATAAAATAACTTTTATTTATGTATAAGAGAAAAAAATCTACATTTTTATTGATGAAGTTGGTAAGAAATAAAAGGTAAATAAGCCAACAGAGTCAGTCCTAGAAGAGCTCACATTGCATCCCCCCCCCCGCCCCCCCACCGAATTGAACTGGCTAAGAGTCCTCTAGGGTTCTTGGGCAGAATACTGAACTTTGTACCAGAGCCCAGAAAAGCTTAACTATTTATCTCTCTGATAATTATTCATGTTAAGTCTGCCACTGTTACCCAACATTGGAAATTTCCCAATGTACCCAAGCAGTAAATACCCTCTTATAAAAGCAGAGGCTGGTTGTAACTGGTGGATCATCCAACCTTTCCTTTTTGTCTTCTCTTTTCTCCCTTTCCTGTGCTTTGCTTTGGTTTCCTCACAGCTATAGTCCATGTAATAAAATTAAATTAGAAATCAGTTCATTCTGTGTTTTTTTTTTTAATTTTGGGAAATAAGAAAATTCACAATTTTAATGACCTTAATATATGTGTTCTCTCCTGTTCTCATTAATAACAAAGCATATACAGAGATATATTGGAAACAAACTTCTGAAAAAAGATACAATTATTTGGAAATCAAAACAGCATTGGAAAACTATCTTTTACTCCCTTCAAGATACTCCTCTCCCTCTTCAATCCAATTTCATACAAATGACTACATGAGAAACATCTAAAACACTGGCTACCTTTTCCTAAGCTTATGAATCATCAACGCTATAGAGTGATCCATTAACTAAATGCTTCCAAACTTCTGAAATCTCAAAGTAACAAAGAACTCTTTGGTCATGACAAAAATTACCCAAGGAAAAAAAGACATCTTTTCTTATCATTTGAAGGAGGAAATAAAAAAGGTGTGATAAAGTAATGAACTTTAACCCTAGAGGTAAACCTGGCAGTTGTTATGGCCTTTGATCATAAAACTAACCATTGTAATGGTCAATCTTGCCTGAATTTCTTCCGATAAAACTGTATCTGAATAGACATTCTGGTAACTCTGTCACACTGTAATGTAGTAAGGAACAAAGTTAGTATTTTATCATGTGGAATCAGTTAAGGATAGAGGGGCTATTCTAACAAGCTTCTTTACCAATCAAATGCCTACATGTCACAATCTGGACTCTGCAAATAGCAAAGTCTCACAATCAATTCTGAGACTCTACAGCTAAGAGGAAGAGCTCTTTTAGGACATTTGGGGTTGCTCTTCTGAAGACAATAAGAAAAATGTTCTTCATATTTAATCAACCAAGCAGAAAACCCAAGAGGAAAGTTTTACAAAGACTGAAAATGGACGGAAAGATGCAAGTCTTTGCTACAATCCAGGTATGAATTTTAATTATTTCCCAAAAATAACTACATTAACATTTTAATATGGTCTGATTTTGAACCAGCGTTCTTAAAAATCAATTGTTTAATATTAGGTAGTTTTTATTGTCTACAAGAAAGTAGTTTATAAACTGATCTATTAC